TATATATATATATACACGATTTTAGTTGTTAAAAAGTTATTGTTCAAAGATTTTATTCAATTATACGAAAATTTCTTACGTTCGTTAGATAGCTAATATATCTTTATGAGATTTAAATAACTGATTATCGTCTTTTAGTAGAGGTAATATTGTGTATTTTTCTAATTTAATATTTTAATACTGTTATTTTGAACGCTGTATTTTCAGGCTTTTCAGCTAATTGACCAAGATAAAGATGGTTTCATTTCAAAGAATGACCTAAGAGCCACATTCGAATCATTAGGTAAGCTTTGCTAACATGTTTAATTTGAAAATTCAAGTTATTGTATGCATTATATTTCTACGTTATTAATCCACAGGTTATTCTCCACAAAACGCATGAACGACATCCCATTTGTTTCATTACTCTGTCAATAAATGTAAGCATTGGACATTTTTAAATACATTTTCATGTTTCCTTGTAGTAAAATATTTATTAACCTGAAGCAATGGTTTCTTTCCGAGGCTACATAAAACCTATTTATACTTGCGAAACCACAAGGAGAATAAGTTACTGTGTATATAGATAGTGTAAAATAAGTTACTAAGCATATAGATAGTGTAGAATAAATTATTATGCATATAAATAAGGTAGAATGAGTTGTTATGTGTATAGATAATATTGAATATGTTGCTGTGTGTATATATAATGTAGAATATGTTAGTATGTGTATAGATAAAGTACAGTAAGTTACTATGTGTATAGAAGATATGATCAACACGCTTTTTCTATTCGCAAAACCACGAGCTACACGAGAGCTATCTGTGTTAGCCGTCCATAATTTTTAGCTGATAGACTAGAGGGACAGCAACTAGTCAACAGTACCCACCGCCAACTATGGAAAAGTGAGAGTTGATCGTCACTCTTTTGACACACTCATGTCCCCAAAGTGCAAATCGCGTTTATTCGATAACGGGACGCGAAGTTTAAAGAGAATGTAATCAATGAATATTTCCTTAAAAAATGATTAGCTAGCTAGGTTAGACTAAAAATGGATGAAATTAAACATGAAAATAGCAGTCCAGGAGAAACATCTAAAATAGAACTTAAGATAAGTTAGGTAACGATAAAAGAAGCCAAAAATAGAATTTGAGAGAATAACTAGAGAAATAAAAGTACATGGACGTACCATGTTGAATAGTAGTATATTTAATAACGCTAAAAATCGGGTTTCAATACCCGCCGTGGGCACAGTACAGATAGCTCATTGTGTTGCTTTGTGCATAATAACATTCAGGATATTCAGTAAAAGAAAAAGAGAAAATAAAATATCACAAGAAAAGAGTTTGGCTTGCGGTAGAAAAGAATAATTCAAAAATATGTTGAATGTACTTGTTAAAACACAAATACATTTGCTCTCCTTCCGTATCAATATACTAAAACATTAAACACAATCTGAAGTTAGGGTGAATATCAATATACACAGTCTGATGTTAGGGTAAATATCAATATACTCAAACATTAAACACAATCTGAAGTTAGGGTGAATATTAATATAATCAAACAAGAAATGTAATATAATATAGGATGAATATCAATATACTCAAACATTAAACACAATCTGAAGTTAGGGTGAATATCAATATACTCAAACATTAAACACAATCTGAAGTTAGGGTGAATATTAATATAATCAAACAAGAAATATAATATAATATAGGATGAATATCAATATACTCAAACATTAAACACAATCTGAAGTTAGGGTGAATATCAATATAATCAAACAAGAAATATAATTGAATATAGAATGAATATCAATATAATCAAGCAATAAATATATTTTAAGATAGGGTGAGTATTAATATAATCAAACAAGAAACACAATGTGGAGATAAAGTGAGTATCAACATAACAAACAAGAAATCCAGTCTAAGATAGGGTGAGTATTAATATAATCAAACAAGAAACACAGTGTGGAGATAATGTGAGTATCAATGTAATAAACATTAAATATCCACAGCTAGAACAGACTAGATAGCAGTGGCGATGCCAGGACTAAGCGAGAGGTGGCGGGCTCCATCCTTGATGTTTTATGCTATTATTAAAAACAAAAACCGGAATTAATGGCTCAGCGTTACGTCCGAGAGCTTATCATTCTAAAAATCAGGTTTTGATGCTCGCAGTAGGCATAGCAGAAACAGCCCATTGTGTAGCTTTGCACTTATCAACAACCAAACAAAAATAGATTTAATGTTAGTGTCTGTATGGTGTGATATCGAGTTATTCAACTAAAGGTTTACAGAGAGTGTGGAATGTTGCATTAAAGAGTACCTGTATTAATAATTATATTATATTTTAAATGGAGTAAATAGTAGTTTCAATATGGTTAACAAGTAAATAATTTTGTTGCTTTTAACAAATTTTCCCTTTACTTTATTCTGTGTTCTACGTTTTTCCAAACACTGTAGAAATAGATTTATTGAAATGTACATTTTTGCAAAATATATAATTAGTTAGGTAACTCAAGTTAAACATAAAACAATCCCTGATTAGATATCTGATTAAACAGCTAAGCGTGAAACTTTACCTAGTGTAGAATGAAAATACCAGTTTAAAATGTCAGTAATATGATAAAACATAAAATATTAGATAGAACAGGGCAGGAAATGCTAGGAAAAGTTGGGTAACCATATCTTTAAATGTTAAAGAAACACATTAATAGTGAAATAACCAAACATAAAAAACTGGCTAGTTAACAATAAACCAAAACTAAATACAACTTGAACAGTTACTTCATCACACATAAGAATCCAATTCAGTGTAGAATGGACAATTTAAAACATGACTAAAATTTGCAGGATAGTTTCAGAAGTGAAATAATAGTTTTAAAAGCAGCGTTTAAGATACGCTGTATAATAGTGAAAGCAAACTAAGGATATATATATATATATACATAACATGTTGAGAAGTGAGATAATCAAACACTACGTTTAATGATAAAACCAAACTAATAAACACTCAGGATAAGTTGAGAAATGAGATAATCAAACACAACTTGTAATGATAAAACCAAACTAATAAACACTCAGGATAAGTTGAGAAATGAGATAATCAAACACGACGTGTAATGATAAAACCAAACTAATAAACAGTCAGAATAAGTTGAGAAGTGAGATAATCAAACACTACGTGTAATGATAAAACCAAACTAATAAACACTCGGGATAAGTTGAGAAATGAGATAATCAAACACGACGTGTAATGATAAAACCAAACTAATAAACACTCAGGATAAGCTCAGAAGTGAGATAATCAAACACTACGTGTAATGATAAAACCAAACTAATAAACACTCAGGATAGATTGAGAAGTGAGATAATCAGACTTAAAAAATCTTTAATAGTAAAATCAAACTAAAAAACCCCAAGACAGGTTGAGAAGTGAGATAATGACATATAACAACATCACCAAGGATAGAACCACACCTTGAAACACTAGATATTAGTTTTACTATATAAAAATGGTTTCGTTATTAAATATAGTAGAAATCTTATACAGTTTTAAACGTTTACTCATGCAATTACTAAATATCTTTAGCAAGTTGATGAATACAGATAACACTGTTCTGTTCATCTTTAGGGAAATCAGTCCAGGACGATGAGTTAGAATCGATGGTAGCTGAAGCTCCGGGGCCAATCAATTTTACTATGTTCTTGACTATCTTCGGAGACAGAATCACCGGTACGCCTTAGTTTTATGTATTGATACATATAAATCATGACTGTATTAAGATACATTTATGATAACGGTGCAAAATGTGTATAAATATCGATATGAGTGCACTGGTCAGAGACGTCTAAAAGATTCGGGGCTCGAGCCCATAGGCGTGGGAATTTTCAGCGTTTTAGTATGATATCGATCACGGTTTTCTATCTTGACTTTTCGATACATCAACTGGGGATTCGGGGTCAAGTAGAATCGGGGCACGGGCCCCGTGTGCCAGTGTCTAGCGACGCCTCTGGCATTGATGTTAGCTGTGATAATTAAGACTTATACAACTGGACATGGGTACATTAACACTGACTGTGTTAACACGTGTACAGATGGACATGGGTACATTAACACTGACTGTGTTAACACGTGTACAAATGGACATGGGTTCACTAATCATAAACATGTTAACATGGGTTCAGGATACTGAATGCATTAACAACAATAAAAACTGATATGATAACTGTGTTAATATATTTAGAAAGTAATTACCACTGTAACATATGAAGACAACTTTCTTACACAGGCCTACTCCTAGTAAACATACTTTGTATAACAAATCAAAGTTACTGTTTTTTAGGAACTGACGACGAAGACGTGATAATAAATGCCTTCAACCAATATGATGAAGGGGAAGGGAAAGTGAAGGAAGAAACGTAAGTAAACCTACAATCTAAATAATCTTAATCTAGATATAAAACAAATTACGCATTGAAACAAACAATGAAAGTTATGCAGCATGAATCTTTCGTAAACAGTAAGTAAAACCACATATATATATGTATATCTACTACCACACGATGAATGTATGTGAGATACCCTGAAAGAGAAAGGTGTACATTACATTATATCACAATCAGTGTGACACGCTTGAAAAACGTGTTTGTGCGGTATCAACGACGAACGAATTTCGCAATTATTTCAAGAAAAGTGAAGTTAGGCTTCGAATCAACATGGTAGTTCAGTTTTTAGTCACAATTCAATTATTTATTACTGCAATATTAAACGTGATTCATTAATTACAATCAAATAGGACTGTCTTTAAAGCATAAATGTATTAGGCTGCAAATATTCACATTAAGAACAAGTACAATGACTCTGTTTTATTTCTTACACTTGAATGTTATTTTTCTATGTGCAGTGTTTAAAAAGATTTCTACTGATATACTGATGCTAAATTTATGCTTAATATTCTAGAATAATTAGATTTGCACTAAATGTTCTCCGTTTTCAAATATATGATTAATTTTCTCTTAGACTTAGGCATGCATTGATGACGTGGGGTGAGAAGTTTAGCAACGAAGAGGTATGTATTAATTAATTCACCTTAAGAATATTGTACTCTTGTAGTGTTAGTTAATAAGTGTGAAAATATTGTAGTGTGAATTGTAGATATAGTCGAGTCCTGAAACGTTATTTAATAAAATATTCGAATATGACAGCAGCTTCGTGGAACAATACTGATGTTGGCAGTGTTAGCTAGCTAATCAGCTAAGGTTATTTTGAGGTTTGAAAATATTAGTTGATTAATTGTAGGAAAAGTTTACTTAATATGATGTTAGGTGATGAATCCTGAAAAGTATGACACAAACAATTTCAATAATAAAGTTGTAGAAAACACCAACAGAACAGCCCCACTTAACGAATAACAAAATCAATAGTGTCTAATAGTTATAGTTAATAAATTTCAGAAACTTTCATATTTGACAGTGTTGAGTCATGATTTGTAGTCTGACTGTCTTGATTGATAAATTGTAATAACCTTTATGTTTAAGAGTGTTGGTTAATGATTTGCAGTATAACAGTATTGGTTGATAAGTTCTAATAACCTTTACGTTTAACAGTGTTGGTTAATGATTTGTAGTCTGACAGTGTTGGTTGATAAGTTGTAGAAACATTTGAGTATTAATAGGAATGAAATTCTGCTTGTACTAAATGGAACTTATTATCAGTTTTTTTGAGAATTCCGAATGGAGTACCATTTTGAAACGTTGATTAACTTAATTTTCTTTGAAACAACGATCTGTTGAAACATTATAATCTAACAATATATTGATTATGGATTTGTAAACTATCCAAATCTAACAGTTATAGTGTTAATATATTATTAAAAAAAACATTTGACAGTGATCAATTGCTTAAAGATTTCCGAAAATTTAAAAGACATGCTTGTATGTTTATTTATACCTAAATTTATTCCAAAAAATTTCTGGTACCAGAGGCGTCGCTAGGTGCTTAAAAGAATCGGGGTTCGGGCCCATAGGCGCGAAAATTTTCGGCGTTTCAGTATGATATCAAACGTGATTTTCTATTCTGATTTTCAAGATACCAACTGGGTATTCGGGGCACTGTCAAATAGAATCGGTGCACGGGCTCCGTGTACCAGCGACACTCTGCCAGATACGTTTATTCAACGCCAGTGGTAGGCATGATATTGTTACGTCTCTGGTCGTTTGTTAATTTCCCGTATAAATTATTTCCGAAGAACTTCAGTGATATAAGTCCTTTCTTAAATAAAACTAGTTTATTCTTTCTCAATACAACTTTGCAATACACTTAATTTCCACAGTCACTTTCACTTGAACACACGCTATAATTCTCAACGATTCACGCACTTTACTTACGGTCACTACCGCTCACTTGAATCGATTATCGGTCTCTATATCTTCCTATCTGCCATTATATATGCCGTCCCTCTTTTTCTCCGCTTTATTTGCCGGGCTTATATACAAAAATAGAGGGCGTCTGGCAAACACTAGAGTTGCCAGGAACAGTCATGATCCTTCTAGAAACGCATGACGTGTTACCAGAGTCACGTGACTTCCGCTGTCGTAACAATATATTTACGAAGAGCTTCACAAATGCAACGCATATCCAGTCCAGCCTAATTTATGGTACGATATCTTGCAAGTGTTGCACAAACAGTAAGAAAATTACAAGAACTTTTTTTCTATTTTTTGGCCTATTTCCAGGTACATGATGCTTCTTTTATCACTGTTTCAAACAATCGAAGCTTTCTTAGTCAACCAAAACATGAGATATTTATGGAGTACAATTTATACTCAGAATGTTACGTATCTGCCTGTTTGTTAATTTCCGGTATAAATTCTTTCCGAGGAACTTCAGCGATACAAGTCCCTTCTTGATTAAAAGTAGTTTATTCTTTCTGGGTACGACTTTGTAATACACAGAATTTCTACAGTCACTGTAAACTTAACAACCTTTATAACACATGCTATAAATCACAGTGATTCACACACTTTACTTAGGGTGCGTACTGTTCGCTTGACTCAATTATTTATCTCTTCCATCTATCTATCTCTGCCCTTGCGCTGGTTTTTCTCGCCAGGCTTAGAAACTCCAGCGCGCATGCTCCCAGCGTCATGCGACTTCCGCTGTCGTAACAATATTTATATGATTAAAACAAGAAGTTTAATTATAAATAAAAAATATAATTAACTATAGAGTTTTAGAATCAGGAAAGGTAAATACAACATAAATATAAAATTATTTATATGTTATTTCCTTTAAACATTCCTTTATATGTTATTTCCTTTCGATCGTAGGCTAATGACGCCTTAAATGAAGCTCCAGTTGACCATGAAGGCATGATTGACCTGAAAAAATTTGCCCAAGTTCTTACTAGAGGCGTGGAGGAGGAAGAAGAGGCTGGAGCTTAATTTTGGTAAGTAAAAGTAATTCCAATTTCTATTTTTATTATATTTATTCACAATCTTTAATAAACTTGATCTATGAACTATTATTTAATGTTATAGGCTCATTAATGTTTGGTGTTTAGCCTAAAGTTACACAATAGGCTATATGATCTCTGTCCACTGCGGGAATCGAGTCTTATTCATTTACGATCTTTTTGTTGTTGTTTTTATTCATATAAGAGCAACAGTATGAAATCATGTAACTTTCTCAAAACTAATTTTTTTGTCAATCGATTATTCTCAGCTTTATAATTCATTAACAATCATAAAAAAGAATCCATAATAAATGAGTACAAGTGACAACAAAAGAAACATATATTCTCTCTAAGGACGCGCCTGTTTGTAAATAAGTACCTGTGATAGATTCCTACATTACGTATTGTGAAAGACAAGTAACCATAATAAAAATATTACTGATTTTATATAGCAGGCTTACGTCATAAAATAAGATATCAACCATATTTTAAAGTGACTGTATATGCATTTTTAAAAATACCTTAAACAATTTTATCCGTCATGAAACGTCACTTATAATAATCTTATATCTGTTTTTATTTATGAAAACGTAACTTCGGGTTCTTTGAATTTGACACAAATTTCATATTATTTCTGTATACATGCGATAATTTTACATTATCTCCAGGAGTTAGTAAGGAAAAACAGAAACACCCAGTAGAAATGGTTTGATAACACATGCTTCCACTTATGACTGTTAAAACTCCTTCAATTCGTTATAGTAAGATATGTGCAATTGATATTAATCTGATCAAAGGAAACAATTACGTAAATAAACCCAGTAACGAAAATCGTTAATTAAATATACTATTCTTACTTATATAGATTAGAAAGCATTGTTTCATCAGTTGGATACCCTCACTAATAGGTTATTTCAGCCGTAATCCCAATTATAATACACAAGGTTTGGTCAGCTTAGGAGGTTTAGATTAGTCCTAAATCCATATACTAAGCTAGTATATGAAACTAGTCTTTATGATTAAAAATATTAAAAATAGATATATTAAACATCCTCAACAATGCTGTTAATGAAAGTAGCGTTAAAGAAAGAATAGATTATATCTTACACACCAAATACAAACATTCTGGTTTGCTTCATGCGCTGTCATAAATTATGTTTCTTGAAGAACTTAATATAAGTATACGCAAATTTTTATATAATCCTGCATAACAATCTTCTGTTAACCGTGGAAAACCCATAAACAGCTCTGACAGTGTAATTTTAGAACAACTTGACATTTGAATATCAAATAAATTACTATAACACAAGTTACTGTTTAACTATAGAGTTAAGTAGTAGGACTGTATAGATATTACAGCAAAAAAATATATTTATCTAGAAAATAACAATAATTATTCTAATTAACAAATTAGATAAATAACAGAACCATAGAATAAATTATAAAAATATTGATACTCTAATTAAAATATAAGCAAATTGATTATAAAAGAAGAAGAGTAACATGCTAACCATGCAATTAATCCGACTTTAACTAACTCCTGTCACTTTACATCACACGTGGAGGGGCGAGCTGTAAACAATAGAGTAAAATTCTGAATAGCAGCTGAAAAGTATAATTGATAAGATTAGAAAAAACGCACAATAATAAGACGTAGAGAAGGAAGTAACAACAATGGTAAGTGTAGAAATTAATTGGCTGAAACAAATGTAACATAATAAATTAAGTATTGTTATTCCATATAAGGAACTTTAAAATCCTGTTAAATAACACACCAAAATTACATTTAAAACACAAAAGGTTAACACAATTTTAGTAAAACCACAAGGTAAAAAAACCTGCCAAACGTTTAGTTACAATCTATTGTTCTTCTTAGTGGCTACTGTATGTTGTGATACATCGTAGGTGATTAAATACAATTACGGTAGTAATACATGGTATTCTATTAATGAAATTATACTGGTGCTTATGTTCATGTAATTATTGTCACCTAGCATAGGCCACGACTCATGGAAAATGCGTTGAAATTTATTAATGGGTTTTGTTATAACTTTATTGTTTTTAAAATGTGGAATGTGATTTTGTGCTGAGCCTGCAGCATCGATCTGGCAGAAGTTAACATCATTTCTGTGTTCGTTAGTAAGAGTATTTAATGTTCAGACTGTCTCACCACAAAACATAACATATTTCGTGGTGAATTTTATATACACAAGTTATTTTTTCTGGTTGGATGGGATCTTTTGGATGGACTAAGGTATAGCTTAAAGTTGTACAAGGTTGATAAACAGTTCTAACATTAATTTTATTTTTGAGTCTTTTAAGAGGACAGATAATCCTTTATTGTAAGGGATCAGTGTAGTGGTAGTAGGTTTAATTTAGAATAAAATATATTTTGTTTTGTTTCAATAAAGTTGTTGAAGTACCCATTATCTTCAAAACTTTTATGATATGCTGATTTTCTTTAACTTGATCTAATACATTTTGAATAAAGATCTAGAGATTTTGTCATTAACGTTTTGATAACCATAGCTTGGTGGGAAGTAGGGTGATGGGGACTAAAACCAAGGCAGGAAGTTGTTCAAGACATGCTTGGGCAGCTATTCATCATGATGGAAAACTGCTCTTCATATCCTCCAGGGAAGCATCGATGACGCCACCTACAGGCATCACGTGGAGACGATATTTCTGCCATATGCTAGGACAAGGTTTTGCAATAATTTTGTGTTCTGGGATAACAGTGCCACTGCCCACAGTGCGCGTATTGTACAGGATTATCTCGACCAGGAGGACGATACAAGATTGCCATGGATAGCAAAGTCTCCAGAGTGTAATCACATTGAGAACTGTTGGGCAGAACTAAGCCAAAAAATTGCTAACCACGACCCTAAACTAGCTACTGTAGCTGAGTTGCAGTGCCTTATAGTTACAAGTTGGAAGTAAATCACGGTTGATTACATCAATAACCTCATCGACAGCACGCCACGTCACCTTGCGGAATTTATTAGAGTACGAGGAGGACCAACCAAATACTCAATATTTAATATGAACTGATATAAGGTTACAGACGCTACTTATAATAATTTGATGTTACATTTTGTAATTATATATGTTTTAGTAAGTTTTTGTTATGATATGTGAAATGCTGAATTACACATCTTTCTACAGGTATCTGATAAAATTATTTACTGTTCTAATAAATCGTTCATGATGACCTTAGTACCTGTCTCATTATACAAATTACATATGTAGTTGTTTAATATAATATGCATTTCTCAGTTTGACAGCGCTAAGTGTATTTTGTATTCCATCTTAATAATAATGACTTTATTTGTCACAAAATATGCGTAACTTTTTGGCCAGGATTGTAGTTTTTCTTGGGATTCTTTTCTTCTGTGAATTGAATGCGATTATTCAGACTACTGAGGTGACCCCGAAACTTTTCTCAGAGGTTTTCATCCAGAATGGTGAAAATATCATCCACATTTGGTCTAAAGCTTTTAATTGTGAGGGCGAATGTCTCCAAGCCTTTGATTTATAAAGTCTCCACAGCTAAATCTACTGCAATTATGACTTGTGTACGGAAGCACGTTATGTTGATATAATAGTAAATTGACAAACACCGATTTATAAGCATAATGAAAATTATTCTATGTATAGAACATACTCTGTATTTAAACATAACATTGGCCTTCTTCTTCATACCATTTAACTCATCGTTAGTCAACTTACGAAAGCGCTACGATCGTTGGCGATCCCATAGCTATACCATGGATTTGTTGGCAAACTGCCTATTGTATTTTTAATAGTGTACAAATCTCATATAGTGAGATTGACGTCCATTGAGTTAAAGTCTTTGTCTTCGACCAGTCTCGCTTTCACAACTTCTTAGGCCAGTTTGGTGGGTATTGATATGAACAGGCTTACGACATCAAACGATACTATTTCTTCATTTTCAACGCCCAGCAGCCACTGAGGAAGACTGTGTCGAAATGTTTTTTTAGGTTTTTTAAACAGTTGGTTTTAATGAAACTATTTTTACCTTCTATGTTTTAAAGCTAATTTTGCTTGGAGTATCAGTAAAATGGTTGTTAATGTTACTCATTCAAACATTTATGGCTCTTTGCTTTATCATGGGAACTTTTATGCAGTTTGCATTAACTATAGTAAGAGCTTAAATTAACGAAAAGTAAAACTCATGTGGTCGCCATACTACAGTTTGGATCATCATTATTACCTTAATATGTTTTTACTTAAAGTGTAGAAGTGAAAGTTTTGAAAAGATTGTGATCTTCTGTGAAACTATTAATCTCATAATTGATAGTAAGAAGATTGTTGAATTTTCGCAAAATTGCAAAAATCTAATATTCACAATGCGGAAAGAGAATCCTCGTTTGTGAAAATTGAGAATGCGTTTATAAGCTCTGTCCATAAAATCATGTAATGTTGAACACATTTTATTGAAGCTAATAAGTTATAAGTAGTAAGTATTATAACTTATTTGGAATATTCATATTCGGAAATGGAAAGTTAATAACTTTGAAGTTAAAAATGTCTAATTCATTAATAACTTTAAACGTAAATACTGATGTTTAAGTCTCGGTAATGTGGTTTGGTACTCATGAGTGTGAATGTTATTGTATGAACTTGTTCGATTGTGTCAAGAACACTTTCATAATTCAGTAAACGAATATCACCAACATATCTACAAGTGCGACTATTGTGTAAAGATTTATTATAGTCTTACTCACAAACTAGTAACTTATACTGTATGTTGAAGTTATCTCCCATAGGTATTTCTTGTATTTGTTGAAAGGCTTGTTGGCCGAATTGCACCAATATGTCTGTTATAAGGTTAAAAAAGTACATGGCTTGTAAGAGTTCGCTTATGTGAAACAATAATAATTCGTACAAGTAACGTTATCATATGATAGAAACATCTGTGCTTATTAACACAAGGCTTTAATTTTCCATATTTTTTTAAATCTTCAAATTGAAAAACTAATTTTATCAACAGGAAGACAAGTGTAAAGATTACTAAAATCAAAAGTTTCTGTTGTTTTAGCCTCAGTCTTTAATTTTATCTTTTTATTCAACGAAATTACCGAATATAATGAACAAATGAATACCGATTCTGTCTTTGATAATATTACAAGCTTTTCTTAACCCCCAGTGGCACAGCGGTATGTCTGCGGACTTACAACGCTAGAAACCGGGTTTCTATACGTGGTGGGCAGAGCACAGATAGCCAATTGTGTAGCTTTGTGCTTAATTACAAACAAACAAACAAGATTTACTTAAGTGATATTTAATGTATTTCAGACCATTACCTACTAGACTTGAAAAATCCTTAGTCCTAGAGTTTTTAGCACCGGTAATAAACCAAGTTCCAAAAATGTATGCTTTGGGATTAGTCTCAATTTCTCGAGGATACAAGTTGATATAAAATACGGCGGTCTCGTTCACTCGTGAATATCTTTGGAACACTGTTAAATTACCTGGTTCGACGAATGGAATTATAATCATGCTAAAAAGCATTCATATTGTTTATCTTTAAAAGCCAAGAAGGTATACAACTTGGGTCACTAAACCACCGATTAATCGTCCTCTTTGAAATTCATTTAAGTCTAGGGTGACATGTATCCTTTTTAACCTCATGCCTTCCGTCCGGTAGGCGATCTGAGTATGTTGATATTGTCTGGCATTTTACTTAGAAATATAAGAATGAAGCTATATATATATATAAATAATTTCTTTTTAATATTTTTTTTGCTAAACAATGTTTCAGTATAAAATAATTTAAATACATAAATCGTGCGCGAATTCTAAGTTCATCCCCTAATTTTCTGAAAGTATTAAAAATTTAAATATATATACGAAAGACGCCATCTTGCGTACTTTGTTAAGATGGCAAAATATGTTTCAATAATAAAACTAAAATTTCCTTTAGCCCCCCAGTGACATAGCGGTATCTATGTGGACTTACAACGCTAGAATCCGGGTTTTGATACCCGTAGTGGGCAGAGCACAGATAGCCCATTGTGTAACTTTGTACTTAATTGCAAACAAACAAATATATTTCCCTTAAACAAATCATGTTTAAGTGATTTCAGTGTTTTCTTATCTAACTTGAATTTATCGAAATTTATAGGAGAGGAAGAGGTAAAAATATACTCCCGCCTGTATTAACACTAAAAATTAATAAATGAACTCAATAAAGTATTACAAATCTTATCTATTTCTAAAAACACTCTCAGACATGACCCGGCATGGCCAGGTTGTTAGGGAGCTTCACTGTGGGTCGCGGGTTCGAATTCCTGTTCCACCAAATATGCTTGCCCTTTCAGCCGTGGAGGCGTTATAGCGTTGCGGTCAATCCTATTATTCGTTGGTAAAAGAGTTGGCGGTGGGTGGTGATGGCCTTCCCTCTAGTCTTACACTGCTAAATTGCGCATATAGCCCTCGTGTAGCTTTGCACGAATTTCAAAACAAACATTATTTTATGTTATATTTAATTTTATTATCCTATATTGGTATTTTATTTGTGTTTATAATAAGAAGTTATTAAAAATTCTATTACTATAATGTCGAAATATAATAGAACTGCCTTCCAAGAGGTTTGGTAAAGTATACTTACATTGTAAAAGAAAACGTTATTGGAACGTTTTACCTATTGTTATTTTTGACGAAGATTTTTGTATAATGAAAAGTGCACATAAAGAAGAACATATAATTTTTATTATGTTGTTGAGGTATTTTTTTAGCGCAAAGGTAAATCATGAGCTATCTGCGCTCTGTCCATCGCATGAAATCGAACCCCGAATTTTAGCATTGTAAGTTCGGAAATTTTCTGGGGACTATAAATATTAATCTGTAATATTTGTGAAAATTATCTCAGAGTAATAATTTCCTCCTTTCTTATCGATATTAAATATCATACTTAGTTATTTGACTTATTAAATCTTACAATAGTTACATTCATATAAAACATGAAGGAAAATTTTCAAATACCGTACCATATGTTTGTAAAGTTATGTAATTTTAAAACATGCTTATGTCTTAGTTACATAGAAATTAATTTTGTTGTGGAACATCACGTATGCTTTAACTACTGTGTCATCTTCTTGAAATAAATGCATTATTTTTGAATTACAAAAGACAAAAAGATATGAAAGTAATTTCTGAATTTAATATATTGAGAATTATTTACCTAAAAATATAACATATAATAAACTGCCCTGACGTCCCAATTCATTTAACATTCTACATTTGACATCACAACGATTCATTCATTACCTTATTAATATGAAATATTCATAAATTCTATGGTATATCATAATGTGTTACATGTGTACATTCATTTAATATATTAATATAGTCATCATTTTTCCATAAAACACATGACAATTCTACAAAATGCCATCTAAGCCTGTGTGATTACATTTATTTGATGTAATAACACGTTCATTCATTTAGTTGTGATAATTGTAATTCTTCTTTTTTACAGTATACATTACATCTCTTGAAAGTAATGAAAATTCAATAGTTACTTATATCAAAGCTGAGCAATTTCTATAAATTATCACTAAGTTTTGTAAAATAAATCATAGTATAGGATATTATTTTATTTTATGTCTGGGTTTATCTGATATAATTAAAATATAATTCATTACTTAAATACGAAAAATAAATGCTATAGAATACTCTAACATTTATCCGGTGTAAGAACGTTTAGTGCTTCACAAAGTTGGTTTGAACAAGTTATAAATATGTTAATTAATTTGAAATCAGAACTACATTTTATTGTGTTTTTATCAATCCATTCTTTGAAAAATATTTCAAGCTATAGATGTTCAATGTATCTCATTTTTATCTATCAAAGCAGAGAAAACTTCGAGGATCGTCAAGTCAAGCATTGTGTCAAGTCACATAATTCTATGGACAAGCGGTAATGACTGTCATGCCAAAGTATGTTCAAATGAAAAGAATCCCCACTGCCCTCCAGTTGTCATTGTCCACAATCCCGCATACCCTCTTGCTTTATCCATACCAAGATTGGCACTTGATTTGAACAACCACAATGTATACTGTTAAAAAATAAAGTTCACCACTCACCTTCGGTTAACATCCCATCCCTTCCTCATTTTACTTGTGTCAGTATTGGCCTTCCGATTTCTGAAAACCAATTAGGAAAATATATGTTGTTCTCACTCTCCTGCATCCTTTGATACCTCCAAGCTGCTTATTTTCACATATTTCATTAATTGAGTCAAAAAATTGTTTTTTGGTCTCACACAGTTTTGTTTTTTGTTATTTTTTTTAGGTCTATTTTGCCCAAAACCCTTTTCGTTTTTGGACGCAGAAGTCTTGTTCAAAAAGTAATTTTCCCCTGTGCCTAATTTTCCTTGAAATAAGTTTCCTTGACATACCTGAATCGAATGCTTCGTGGACATTTACTAGCAAAAAAGTAATCTCGGAAAGTGCAATGTTTCTTTTAAACTTTATCACGATGAGGCATTAATATATTGAGTTTTTATTTGTTTTAGTTCACATCAAGTGAGATATTATACATTTATAATTATTACCATTGTTATACGAATCTGTTACTGCATTAAATGTCAGTAAGAATTCCTCTTATAGAATATATTGTATATAACAATATAGAAAATTAATAGAACAAATAAGGAAGAAATTTTCGGGTAATTAACGAAAAATTAATACGTTTTTAGTGCAAAACTATCTCACTTATTACAAGAAAGGTAGTTACAACAGTTAGGTTTTAGCAAAAATATTGTATTCATTTTGAATTTTAGGTTCCATCACAAGAATATATCCTGAAACACTGGATTATGAAAATTTATAGAATAAGCATTTAAATTAAGGTTAATGTTTTATTTTGTTTATTGTAAAATTAATTTCAAATGGGATTACAGTCGTTACTACATTCTAGTCATAAGTTTTTGTAATAACATAGCATGTACTTTAAATATATATAGTTTAGTAGATATAAACGGTTTTCTCTGCAATGGGTCTATCATAAGTTGCATCTTTATAATAAAATAACTTTTAGTTCTTAAATGTCACTGTTTATTTCTTCTATTTTCTACAACCTCATATATAAAACTGCTTTGTTTTGAAGTGAGTTTGCCGGTGTGTTGTATAAATGATAAACATTATACATCTTATTGTGAAGTATCACACAAACTATCCAGATAAGACTGTTTTTGCTTTAATTTACCAATGCTTTTCAAAAGTCAAGGGCTTTCAGTTGTGTCAATGTTATAGAGAATTTTGTTTACACATTGTAGCGCAACCTATATTTGAACCTCAAAAATACTACTATCATTTCTGTTTCAGGGGTTAAGCAGATAAGGTTCGGAGAAGACGAAGCTACGCTTCAGTAGACTATTTCATAGCTAACTGTGATTCTATACATCAGGCTAAAGCCATATCTGAGGAACATTCTAAAGCCAGATGTACTATTGCTGACGTGTGTTGTATCTAGCTTCATTGACTTTTAGTTGCTGGTCTTACAATAGTCCGTTTCTTTGGACATATATGTAGTTTTAATAAAGGAAACTATAGCATTTTAAAATGATTTTTGTGTTTGTTTTCTATTCATAAGGTCCTTTATTATCTGTTTATAGTTCATGTAATTTTTTTCTAAGGTTAAAAAAAACAACAAACAGTAATTCAATAGTCTTATAATAGTTCTTATTTAGAAATGCTATAAAAATGATAGTACAAATAATAAATTCTTTACTTCTGTAATATGAAGAACACAAAATTAATTGGCATTTTTACTTGTTTTAAATATTTTTTTAATCCATTTATCGCCAGTTTCTTAAATTGGAAACTTTAGATCGTTATGCGACTTTGAATCGATGAATAGAAGTATTATTAAAAAACATCGTGTGCAGAAACTTTTACAGCAACATACGAGAACAAGTCGATAATATGGATGTACAGCTACACAAGAGGTAGTATGAATAATAAGGATGTACATCTACACAAGAGGTAGTATGAATAATAAGGATGTACAGCTACACACGAGGTAGTATGACAAATAAGGATGTACAGCTACACAAGAGGTAGTATCAATGATACAAATTTACAGCTACACAAGAGGTAGTATCAACAATAAGGATGTACAGCTACACAAAAGGTAGTATCAATGATACAGATCTACAGCTACACAAGAGGTAGTATCAATGATGCAGATCTACAGCTACACAAGAGGTAGTATCAATAATAAGGATGTACAACTACACAAGAGGTAGTATGAATAATGAGGATGTACAGCTACACAAGAGGTAGTATGAATAATAAGGATGTACAGCTACACAAGAGGTAGTATAATAATAAGGATGTACAACTACACAAGAGGTAGTATGAATAATGAGGATGTACAGCTACACAAGAGGTAGTATCAATAATAAGGATGTACAACTACACAAGAGGTAGTATCAAAGGCTAGCATCACTAGTAGCTGAAAGATGTTGAAACTCATACAGAACCGATACAGGTGTAAGATTGTCTTAGTTAATCGGCTATTGTACTAGGAATGTATTTGCGAATAGGTTGAGCAAGATGAACTGTTTATTCCTTAACATATACAATAGCGTAACAACGCAACAAATGAAACGAGTTGAAACATGTGAGAATAATTGAAGTTAGATTACAACGATACAGAAGAGCTACCGCAATGTGTTCCGTGTGGTGTGTTAGAAAATGGATGAAGATAATAGTGCCAATATTTTGTCATTCTGTTGCAACTATTACTTGTTAACTTTATTTATGCTTTTCTTGATTACTGAATCAGTGTTATCCCTGTAAAGGAAAGTACAAAGCTCATGTAAGTGCTTAAGGTAAGCTTTGAAATGTTTTGTTTTGCTTGTTCATGAGAAGGATTTTTGTTTCTGTGAAAAAACTGAAGAGAATAAACTTATATACCATTAATAAATAAATAACCTTTAATAATATATGGATGAGACTCACTGTCGTACAAGCATCATCTAAACTTAAAAAAATACTTGGAAAAATAACAAAAACATGAGTTTCAAGCTGTAAGTATTATATTTAAACGTAGAATAGAGTTAAACTAATGTTTTTATTACTACTTAAGTATGTTATTTAAACGTAGAATAGAGTTAAACTAATGTTTTTATTACTACTTAAGTATTTTATTTAAACGTAGAATAGAGTTCAACTAATGTTTCTACTACTACTTAAGTATTTTATTTAAACGTAGAATAGAGTTAAACTATTGTTTCTATTACTACTTAAGTATTTTATTTAAACGTAGAATAGAGTTAAAC